CATTTGGTGGGTTCTTCTGTACGGCACCTCAGCCACCCCGAAACCCTGGTACATGGTGCTAAGTGCCAGGCACACTTCCTTTGTTCCAGAACAGCCATTTCCCTGACTTTGTGTATTAGGAACTTGAACTTCAGTGAGGTTCAATGACTTGCAGATCTCGCAGGCAGCAGGCAAGAATCCAGGTTGTTTGGTGTTGACTGAGTAGGGGCATATGAGGGGCGTCCGGGGATCAGTGAGGCCAGCCAGTGACTCTGATATGATGGTGATATCAACCTGATCACCATGGCCACATCTGTCACATAGAGAACTTGTTGTTGTCATTGTCAGGTGCTGTTGAGTTGACTCCTACTCATAGCAACCCTGAGTACAACAGAATGAAACACTGCCTGGTCCTAAGCCAGCCTCACAATCTTTGCTGTACCTGAGCCCATCATTGCAGCCACTGTGTCAATCCATCTCATTGACTTTTTCTTCTTATTTTTCTTCCATCTCTTTCCTTTTTTCCCTGACCCTCCACTTTACCAAGCATGATATCCTTCTCCAGGGAATGGTTCCCTCTCAAAACATGACCACAGTAGGTGAGATGAAGTCTGACCATTCTCACTACCAATGAGCATTCCAGCTACACTTCTTCCAGACTGTTAAGTTAGTTCTTCTGACAGCCCATGGTACCTTCTGTATTCTTTGCCAATACCACAGCTCAAAATCATCAACTCTTTGGTCTTCCTTATTCATTGTCCAGCTTTCACATGCAGATGAGGCGATTGAAAACACCATGGCTTGGGTTAGGAGCACCTCAGTCTTCAGAGAGACATGTTTGCTCTTCAGCACTTTAAAGAGGTCTTTTGCAGCAGATTGGCCCAACGCAGTACAATGTCTGGTTTCTTGACCGCTGCTTTGATTGGTGTTGATGTGGAACCAAGTAATATGAAATCTTTGACAATAATCGTTTCTCCATTTATGATGCTGCTTATTGGTCCATTTGTGAGGATTTGCATTTTCTTTATGTTGAAGTGTAATCCATACTGCAGACTGCAATCTTTAATCTTCATCAGTAAGTGCTTCAAGTCATTTCACTTTCAGTAAGCAAGGTTGTGTTGTCTGCATATTGCAGGTTGTTAATGAGTTTTCCTCCAATCCTGATGCTGCATTCTTCTTCATATAGTCCAGTTTCTCGTATTATTTGCTCAGCATACAGATCGAATAACTATGGTGAAAGGATACAACCCTGATGTACACTCCCTTCCTGATTTTAAACCCTTGTTCGAATGACAGCCTCCTGGTCTATGGACAGGTTCCTCATGAGCACAATTAACTGGAATTCCCATTTTTTCTCAATGTTATCCATAACTTGTTATAATCCACACAGTCGAATGCTTTTGCATAGTCTATAAAATATAAGTAAACATCTTTCTGGTATTCTTTCTTTCAGCCAAGATCCATCTGATCTCAGCAATGATACACCTCATTCCATATCCTCTTCTGAATCCAGCTTACATTTTTGGATGTTCTCTGTTAATATACTGCTGCAACCATTTTTTAAATTATCTTCAGCAAGATTTTACTTGCTTGTGATATTAATGATATTGTTCAATAATTTCCACATTCTGTTGCATCACCTTCTTTGGAATGGGTACAAATATGGATGTCTTCTAGTCAGTTGGCCAGTTAGCTGTCTTCCACATTTCTTGGCCTAGATGAGTATGTGCCTCCAGCGTTGCATCCATTTTTTTGAAACATCTCAGTTGGTATTCTGTAAATTCCTGAGCCTTGTTTTTCGTCAGTTCCTTCAGTGCAGCTTCTACTTCTTACTTCAGTACCATCAGTTCTTGATCATATATGTCACTTCCTAAAATGGATGAACATCGACCAATTCTTTTTGGTACAGTGACTCTGTATATTCCTTCCATCTTCTTTTGATGTTTCCTGAATCTTTCAGTATTTTACCTAGAATCTTTCAATATTGCAACTCAAGGCTTGAATTTTTTCCTTCATTTCTTTCAGTTTGAGAACTGCCAAGTGTGTTCTTCCTTTTTGGTTTTCTAACTCCAGATCTTTGCACATTTCAGTATAATAATTTATTTTGTCTTTTTGAGCTGCTCTTTGAAATCTTCTGTTCACCTCGTTTATCTTGTCATTTCTTCCATTTGCTTTATCAACTGTCCGTTAAAGAGCAAGTTTCAGAGTCTTTTCTTCCTTTCCTATATTTTTGATGACCTTTTGCTTTCTTCATATATGATGTTCTTGGTGTCATCCGACAGTTCAACTGGTTTTCAGTCATTAGTGTTCATTGTGTCAAATCTGTTTGTGAGATGGTGGGACTTTAGGTCATATTTTGGCTCTTGTGCAGTTGCTTTAATTGTCTTCAGCTTCAACTTGAACTTGCATATGAGCAGTTGATGGTCTGTTCCACAGTCAGCTCCTGGCCTTGTTTTGGCTGAAGATAATTGAGCTTCTCCATTGCCTCTTCGCACAGATATAGTCTGTCTGATTCCTGTGTATTCCATCTGGTGAAGTCCACTTGTATAGCTGCCGTTTACGTTGTTGAATAAAGGTATTTGCAGTGAAGGTGATTGGTCTTACAAAAAATTGTATCATGCAATCTCCAGTGTCATTTCTATCACCAAGGCCATAATTCCAGCTATGGGTGATTCTTTGTTTCCAGCATTTGCATTCCACTCACCAGTAATAATCAACACATCTTGATTGTGTATTTGGTTAATTTCAAACTGCAGAAGTTGGTAAAAATCTTCAATTTCTTTGTCTTTGGCTCTGGTGGTTAGTGTGTAAATTTGGTTAATAATATCAACTGGTCTTCCTTGTAGGCGTATGGATATTATCCTATCACTGACAGTACTGTACTTCAGTACAGATCTTGAAACATCCTTTGTGATGATGAATGCCATGCCCTTCCCCTTTAATTTTTCATTCCTGGCATAGTAGATCATACGCTTGCCTGACTTACAATAGCCCAAAGCACTGGTGCCTAGGATATCAATCTTTATGCGTTCCATTTCATTTTGACAATGTCCAGATTTCTCAGATTCATACTTTGTACGTTCCGTATCCCAATTATTAATGGATATTTGCAGCTGTTTCTTCCCATTTTGAGTCGTGCCACATCAGCAAATGCAGGTCCTGAAAGCTTTAGTCCATCCACATCATGAAGATCGACTCCGCTCTGAGGAGGCAGCTCTTCCCCAATCGTGTGTTGATGCCTTCCGACCTGAGGGGCTCATCTTCTGGCACTATATCGGACAGTGTTTCAGGGCTGTTTATAAAGTTTTCCAGTGATATATCAGACAGTGTTTCATAAGGTTTTCACTGGCCGATTCTTTAAGAAGTGAATGGCCCCTTCCTTCTTCTGAATCTGTCTTAGTCTGGAAGCTCCACTGAACCCTGTCCACCACGAGTGACCCTGCTGGGATTTGAAATACTGGTGGTGTAGCCTCCAGCCTCACAGCAACAGGCAAGCCACCCAGTACAACAGACTGCCAGACGAGTGGTGGTGTTCGAGGAACTCTTGAAACAGGACTATCCTCTGACTTTATAGATGAGAATTTTCCAGAAACAGATGTTTACACACCAGATGTCCACCAAGCAGCAGGCCCTGCTATAGGTGTTGAGGGCACGAGATAGGGAGAAAGAGGGATGCAAACCAGGACTCACCCAACAGAGCCCGTCAGCTGGGCTGGTGCCAGGCAGCAGTCTGCCAGCTCCCTGCGGGCTGGCGGGAAGCTCATTCAGAGTTTGGGCCAGGTGATGTGAGGGCCCGACGTTCTGACCTTCCCACACTGCCTACAGTAGAGGTGGACAAGAGTTTGTTTCAGTGACCTAGAACCGCTGTCACAAAAACCCTCATGTGAGGTGCTTTAAAGAACAGAGGGTTACTGTCCCCCCATTCTGGAGGCGGAAAGTCCGAATGGGAGTCTTGGCTGTGTGGACCCCTTTCTTGTCAGCAGCCCCAGGGCCCCCCATTCCTTGTTTTGTAGAGATCATCTCACAGCCTCTGTCTTCCCCCTTGTGTGGGTCTGTGTGTGTTCAGCTCTTCTTGTAACTCACTTAGGTGTAGGACACACCCTACCCTCACGGCCTCATTAGCATCACAAAGAGACCTTGTTTCTATCAGGATCTCATCCAGGCCTTGGGGCTGGCCTCCAGCACATGTCCTGGGGGGACTCGGTTCAATCCACAGTTTTTTGCAGCCCCTCTTCCTGAGCCAGGGCCCCAAGGCTTTCTCTTTCAGAGACTTGGCTTCCCCTCACTTCCGGCCTTCCCAGGGCTGCTCACCCATTCTGGTTTCACAGGCTGTCTACCCTGGGCCGACTCCCCGGCCTGCTTCCTGTGTTGACCCCATCCAGAGCAGCAGAGCTCATGTCGCACATATTGCCCCTGGTGTCCTAGAGGCCCCTCCGCTACCTCCTCTCACAGGTGGGCTTCCTGTCCTGCCCTCATGTGGTTAAGGGCAGCTATCCGCCCAGGCCCAGGCTGGGGACCCCAGGGGCATCTTGGCTGCTTTTACCCTTCACTCCACCTCCCTCTGTTCCTGAGGACAGTGTCTTCATACCTACCCCTGTCCCACCTGGGTCCCCATCTCACTCCTGCACTCCAGCTGCAGTCTCCTAACAGTGCTGCCTCCTGGCCCATCTCCGCCCTGCTTCCCCTGACTGCTGAACCCCTCCCTCTGCTCCGGCGCCTGTAGAAAGAAATGCAGGCGATCGCCCCTCACAGCCTGCCTCTGGGCTGTCTCTCGGTCTGCAGGCACCACCTCTGCTTACACCCAATGGGCTCCTGCCTTATTCATCCCGCTGCTCCTGGCGGTGTGGCACCTCCTGGTTTGCTTCTTGTCTCCTGTGCTAGTTGGTGAGCCCCAAAGGGTAGCACCCACGTTTCCTTGTTGCAGTGTTGGTTCTCCAGGGCCCAGACACACGCTGGCTGTTACGTTCTTTGTTGTATCAGCTTCCGTGTGTCAGCCCCCTTCTCTGGTGCTTCCCCAGCAGTGGGACCGGGAGCGTCTGGTGGCAGGGGCCCTACCTCAGCTGACTCCGGTTGTAACTGTGTGCGACTTTCTCCTGATGAAGGTGAGTCTGCAGCTTTCACAGGACACTGGGGCTGCTTTGAAGTTACAGGTCCTAGAAGGCCCCTGGCTGTTTGGCATCGTTCTCTCTGGGACACAGGTGGAGGAGCTTGTTGGGTCTGGCTGAGCACCTGGCGGGGGTCTGGTGACACGTGGCAATGTCTCTCAGGCCAGGTACTGATTGTGCCCTGGACTGTGGTGACCTTGGGTGGCTGGGAAGGAGGCCAGCACAAGGGGCCCCAGCAGACCTGCTGCTGGCCCTCAGCACGTTTCCTTGGATGTGCATTGCCCTCGTGGGCCTCACAGCCCCAGGCTCTGCTGGTGGGTGAGCCGCCTCTGACAGTGTGCCTAGGGGCCTGAGCCCCGAGTCCCTGACGGCAGGTGCGGTCCAGGGAGCGCTGGTGCTGCTTTCCCGTGTGCTAGCAGCGCTCCTGAGGACTGAAGGCCCTCCCCCTTCTGCCTGCCAGGCCTCAGGGATGTGGCTTCTGGGGCCTTTCTGCAAAGACACCCCCCCACACACAGCTCCCTTGGCTGCCTTCCTGGAGCTGGCCCCATGTCCCTCTGTGTAATCGTCCCACAGGCTGCCTTGTTCTCGGCCCCATTCCTACCTGCCTGCCTTGTGGAGCGTGGTACCTGGACACAGCCTGTTCTCGTGGGGAGGGAAGGAAATGCCACCACTGACACTGGGAAACCAGATCCTTCCGTACTTTACGTTTCTCTCTGTGTTTTCTGTATCATTGCCTCAGGTTTAAACATTTCTGGTCATCTTTATCTTTACTAAGGTTGAAAGAACTCATCTAGCAAAGCCTTTGTTCCCAGCTGTCTATAAGGAGTTTGAAGAGCTGCATGAAATGGTTAAGAAGATGTGTCAAGATTACCTCAGGAGTTCTGGTCCATGTTCTCTGGAGCTGCTGGAAATAAACAACAGTCAGGTACTGAAAGTATTCACGTGGGCAGAGAGCTTGGCTCTTAGCCGAGAGGACGGGTCATCAGCGGAGGGGAGCAGGAGCGGGGGCAGTGGTGACATCTTTGTAGTCAACATCCTTGTAGCTCTTTTTGCCATCAAATGAATTCTTTTTTTCACAGCAATAAATGTTTGTCCTAGAAAACTCCTAAGTGTACCTAAGCAAAAACACCGCCAGCCTCCCGCTCACTGGTAACACGCCACAGGTAACACGCTGATGTGTGGCTTTCTTCCTCGTGCTGGTGTTTGGGGGTGGGTTCCAGGTGTGGTGGTTTTGACACAGTTCTTGTTTCTCTGTCGTCAGATTGCGTTTAGAGATGCTGGTTCTTTATAGACATGTTTCAAACAGATCTGGTTTGACTTGCTGTGGAGAAAACTTTGCATCCCATCACATCCCTGTTCTGGGGCCTCAACGGTATGCAACCAGGGACCACAGTTGGGACATGGCCCCTCACTCTCAGGACGAGAACCAGTGGGCTCTCCGGCCCAGATGCTGACCACAGAGCTCCTGGGCCTCCCTGGTCTCAGTGTCGTCCTCTGTCCAAAGGCTGCACTCAGCTCCTGGTTCCTTTCTGGCCCTCACGGCGCCATGGTGTAAACATCCCCTACTTACCTAAAACATTAACCACTGCATTGACGACAACCAGGCATGCTCAGAAAGGCCGCGTTGCCTTTGCCTACTCTTAGTGTCTATTCGCCGACGGATCTGCGGCTGTCTCACTAGAAGGATCAGCACTCTCTAGAGTATGTTACTATTCTTTGGTAGCAAGAAGTCTCCATCCAACCTAAAATGCAACCCATGGTTTTTGTGTTTTGTTTTGTTTTGTTTTGTTAACACTAAAGATGAAAGCTTTATTATCTCAAAAGGACTTTGTTATCCATGTTATTTAAGAAAAACATAATTGAAACTACCACTTCATATATTGGAATGCTTTGACACTGTTGTTAAGTGCCGTCGAGTCGTTTCCGACTCATAGCGACCCCATGCACAGCAGAACGAAACACTGCCCGATCCCGCGCCAGCCCCACAATCCCTGCTATACTTGAGCCCATCATCGCAGCCACCGTGTCAATCCATCTCATTGAAGGCCTCCCCCTCTTTCGTTGACCCTCCACCCTACCAAGCATGACATCCTTCTCCAGGGAATGGTCCCTTTGACACTAGACATTTTTAAATAGGTAGAAGGCATTTTTTCTTTTGACACTTGTTTTTTTATTTGCTTGTTTTTGACTATGGTTGTTATTTTTAATTCAATATTAAATCATTATTCTAAATAATTCAGAATTTTATGTATTCCCTAATAAAACCTATATTTAAATTTCTTAAATTACATAATTTTTTAAAAATGAGTTTCTGCAGTCTCCTGTAGTTGCCTGGTTGACAGTCATAATTCCCATAGCTTTTAAGCTGTAAGTTAAACGAAGGGACTGGGGCCAGGCACCACTGGCTCAGTCTTGTCTAGGTGGCTCAGACTGTGCTCTGGCCTCTTGGGAACGAAACGGTAGCTTAGTCCATCAGAGACCCTGTCTAGGCTGGGGGCGCTGTGTTGGCCGGCCCTGCCTTCCCTTTGGGCCGCCTCTACTACGCAGCTGCTCCCCACCCCCAGGTGTGTGTGCCCTCTGTCCGTGTCATCTGCCAGTGCTCTGTGTATGGAATCTAATCTGGTCCTTACAAAACACCCTTCAGGGCAGCTGTCTTCTCTTGTGTGGACAAGGAAACTGAGACTGGAGATGCTGGTGGCTGACCGAGGCCACACAGTTGTGAGCAGGGGCGCTGGATCTGCCCCAGCTCTCCCAGGCCCCACAGTCACGCCCTCTCCGTCAGCCTGCAATGGTCACGCAGGGCTGTGTGCCTGAACAGATAATGGGGAGTGCAAAGGAGGGCAGTACTGGGCAGGAAAGTTACTTTGGTATCGAAGTAGCAGAGTAAGCTTTTGACAGCACCAGTGGGAGCTCTTTCCAAAATGTTTTACCATCTTTTGAATGCCTTCTTCCAAACTGTGTTCACCCAGAACTTCCTGGTTTTGATAATGATACATCCTGTCAGCTGTTCCGTCCCACTTCGTATTTATTTTCATTGTGCTCATTGTTTAGGCAGCATCTCACAGTACAAAGGACTTCACAGACTGAAATTCAGTCACCTAATGCCTCTGCGTTGGCACGTTTTTGGATTCTCGTGTGTGCTTTGGGTAAAGCTTCCCTCTGTGTTGGCCCCTTAGTTACCCAGTGCTCCTGTTAACAGAAATTCCACAAGTGGGTGGCTTTAAGGAGCAGAAATTTATTTTCTTACAGTGTAGGAGGCTGGAAGCCTAGCTTCAGGGCATTGGCTCTCAGGGGAGGCGCTCTCTCTGTCCGCTCTTGAGGAAGGACAATGTTCCTGGGTTCCTTGGCAGTCTTCTGTGGCCTCAATCTTCTCCTGTCCTTGCCTCTGTGCCTCATTTGCCCTTACTGGATCTCAAGAGTGATGGCTTTCATTGGGGGGCGTTAGGGTCGGTTGGTATAACAGATTCATTCACAAAGGCAGTCTTCTACTACATCCTACCCTGAGGACCAGTGACTGGGGTCTTCACAGCTTGTGAGCAGCCATCTAAGGTGCAACTATTGGCCTCTCCCTCTCTGGAGCAGAAAAAACTGAAGATAATCAAAGACACAAGGAAATAGTTGGTCCAAAGGACTCATGGAGCATGTGAACCCCAACCTCCACAACCCTGAGACCAGGAGAACTAGATGGTGCCCGGCTACCACTGCTGACCTCTCTGAAAGGGATCAGAATAAGAGATCCTGGATAGAGTGGGGGAAAATGTGGAACAAAACTCAATATCATAAAAAAGACCAGGCTTACTGGTCTGATAGAGACTGGTGGAACCCCCAAGACTGTGGCCCTTAGACACCCTTCAGGCCTGGAACTGAACTCACCCCCATGGCTCACGTTTTAGTCAAAGGACAGATACCTGTAAGGTAAACAATAACCCCAGGGAGGTGCGTGCTCATTAGAGCAATGAACCATACAAGACCAAAGGGCAGTGTTTACCCAGGAATAAAGCTCAGAAGGCAGGAAGGGATAGGAAAGAGGAACAAAGGAAAGTGAGAAACACACGGAAGTGGCAAGAGTGCTGTTACATTGTGGGGATTGCAGTCAGGGTCACAAGATAAAATATGTGTGAACTGTTAAATGGAAAACCAATTTGCTCTGTAAACTCACCCAAATCACAATAAAAAATTCTTTGGGAAAAAAAAAAAAGATTGGTTTAAGACCCGCTGTACACTGGTATGACTTAATTAACATAATAAGACCCTATTCCCAAATGGGATCACATCCACAGGTGTAGGGGTTAAGACTCCAGCATATCTGGGGGAAACAGTTCCATCCATAACAGCCCCTGTCTCCTCAGGTTGCTGAGTCCTTGGGAATCACAGAAGAGCTCCTGAAGAGAAGAGGAACATACGCAGGCTGCCCTCCAGGGAGTCGCATCAGCCCAGGGGCGGACAGGGCAGAGTCTGGCGGACAGAAGCGGGGAAGCAAGGTGGGTCTGGGCAGCTGTTTCTCGTCTGTGTTTGGTGATTGTGGGTTGACTTCCTCAGCCCACACTTCCCTGGGAAGGAGGGGGCAGGTCTGCCTGTTTCTTCACTGTCCTAGTGACTGATCTCTCTCCACAGATCACAGAAGAGGTGCTGACCTCGGTGAAAAGGACCAGGAGAGAGACAGTGCCCAAGGATGCTATGGGGCCTCTGGCTGCCCCCGCTGGAGGCCAGGAGAGGTCCAGGACCGAGTGTGCCCCAGCTGCCAGGGCGGGTAAGATGCCGGGTGTAGTGTTTGCCCCGGGGCTCTATTTCAGAGCCCTCTGGTTCTTGGGCGTTGTCCCCTCGCTTCCCAGCGTTCTGTGTTCATTCCCCAGGAGTGTGAGGGCCATGAGGTGTTCTGAGTCCCTTTAACGTGAAGAGTGATGGGACCCAGAGGCACCAGAGAGGTTAGGGAGACCTGAGTGGCAGGGCTGGGTACCAAGGACACAGCTGGGGTGTGGCTTGGCTTTCATGAGCGTTGGCTCTGAATGCCAGGCTGTCGTTTTACCCTTGAAAACAAGACCCGTTCCTGTTTTCAGTCTTGCTCTAGCCAGGGTCTGTCCAACTGTTTGAACAATAAGGCACAGAGAAGAGTGTATAACTTCTGAAATCCTCGCAAGTGGCCTGGCATCTTGCCTGACCCAAAGGTCTCCAACTGGAAGAGGCTTTTTCTGCTGACTTCACTCCCCCATGGGGCTCTGTGTACCTGGAAGGAGGGGAGGGCACCCCCAGCACCCACCCAGTAGCCCGTGTTTTCTCTTCCTGGCCCATCCTCAGGAGGCCTAGTATGCCCTGCACCGTAGCAGAAGCAGGACTTAGGTTCAAGAGTGAGGGTTTCCTTCAAGTCCAGATGCCAATGTCCAGAGAGTGGCTCTTCCTGGGGTGTCAGAATCACCTGGGCAGGTGTTTGTGGGGTTCAGAGACCTGGGCAGGATATCCCCTGTGAGTCCAATGGTGGGTCAGCAGGGGTGGATATGCACGTTTTGAAATGACCTCTGGTTCAGAACTGCCAGTCACTTGCTCAGTATAGGGACAAAAATACACCACTGAGTGGCTTTGGCAAAATACCCAGAGCCAGTTCAATGGAAAATGTGTCTTTTTGAATTGTAACAAGGACTGATATAAAACAACTTTGCTGCCAATCCCTCCTAGCAAGAGGAGTGTATGTTTTGATTTTTTGTTGGCAAGAGAATGAGTTTGGACTCTTATTTTGGAGAGTGATGAGGCTGTAATGCGACGCACAAGTGCTTATCTTGCTCTTCTGAACCTTTAGGTTGTGGCCTTCAAGTCAGTGGGCGCTCGTCCTACCACTGTGGGGAAGGCCATCCGGTGGCAGGTCCTGTCAGCGGTCACAGCATGCTCCTCGCCGGCCAGCAGCTGAGAGTGTTTGCTGATGTACAGGGCGTGTCTGTGGGCCCATCTCTTCTGCCCTCGGATGCTAGTGGGCCGGCTCACCCTCAGCTGGCCCGGGCTGCTCCGGAGCTCTCAGGTCAGCGTGCTGGGGGCAGCCCTTATGGTGTAGATCTCTGCTGTCCCCTGGTGTCCGGTGGCAGGCTGGGCTCCCAGCTGCCTGCAGGGGCTGGGAATGCAGGGGTCAGGAACCCAGGCAGCATGTACACCTCCCACTCAGATGGCTGGCAGGCCAGCCCAGGAACTGTCACACTCATGAATGTCACAATGCCATCACCTGAGACAGCTTTGTTCCCGGAGGCCGCACAGGTGGCCCATGCCTCCAGGACTGCTGCTCAGCCAGGGCCTCAGCTGGGTCTGGACAGGTTGCAGTCAGCCACAAGTGATCATGGGAGTCATGTGGGGGACTTGGGCCAGTTCTCCTGCGGGGCCGCACAGACAGAGCTGGAGAACATTGTCGCTGTGGGTGAAACCATGGCTTTTGAAATCACCAGTGGGTGCCACGACTTGTTTGCTCAGGGACAGGACCAGATTTTTATTCAGGCTTCAGATGGGTTCATGTTGTCCCATCCAGGTCCAGTGGGGACTCGGGAGGGGGACATTCTAGTGTCCAAGGCGGAGGGGCCTCCTCTGCAGGTGGACCTGCCACCGGCAGGTGTTCCTTTAGAAGCAGTGGAGGCCTTCCTCACCAGTGGCACCAATCCCCCCCCGTGAACCCAGGTCATACTGCAGGCCTGCACTTGGATGTGTTTTATCCACAGAAGCCTGTTTCAGGCACTATGTATTTTTCTAATGTGAATACTGACACAAGTGTACCCTTTATTTATAAAGAGTAATGTCTTCCCACCCTGCTGTCTCTACCTTTTTCTCTAACTTGCTCACTGTAGGGATGTCAGACCTGCTACCTGGTAATGAGTCTCTCAATTCATCTCTTACAAGCTTTTGATGACTGTTGCAGTTGACAGTTACCCGCTACACTGTTACCGCTGTCATTAAGTCTGTGTCCCTTTACCTCCTCAACAACGTGCTGTTTTTCCACCAGACTTGGTCTACACTGGAAGCCGCTTCTGAATTCAATAAAGACAATAATACGCTAGCCATTCTGGTTGCATTTTATTGGGAAGTGGGGAAGGCAGTTGTCATTTTCACAGCCAGTGGATGAGAAAGTGAGGCTTGAGTAGCAGGATGACTTTGTGGGGCTCCCCAAGGAGACGGGGCTGAGCTGAAACCCCAGGCCGTTGATGCCCACTTGTAACCTGCTTATCAAGGGGTCTTTTCCTTGAGGGTTTTCTTGGCTGTATTAGGAAGAAAGCAGAGTAGGGTCGTGTGTCTACACTTGGACAAGAGCATCCCCAGGGAGCACCTAGCAAGATGTGGTGGGTGATGCGTGGGGTGCAGGGAGTCACAGGCCGCCCCTCACCCCCCAGCAAGCCCCCTTCCTGGGCTGCCTTGGAGAGGGGCTGCCTTTGTTCCAGGAAGCCAGTGCCTCCTCACAGCCCTTTCCCTGGCTGGAGGGCACGTGCCCATTCAGTGATGTTACAGGTGGGTTTAACAGAAACAGAAGGGGCACAGGGATGGCCAAAAGATAGCAAGCCACAGCTGCTGCAGTTGGCTAGTCAGCATGACTGTGTGACCTGCAAATGCTGTTCCAGCTGAACAAATGGTGTTCCCTGGGTACACCGTGTTTACTTCATGCTTTCGTATCACTTCTTGTGTTTTCTGGAGTTCACTTCTGTTGTTTTTTGTTTGAAACATACTTAGCATGGATTATAGGAGCTTTGGTAGCATAGTGCCTAAGGCACTTGACTGCTTACCAGAAGGCTGGCGGTTCAAACCCACCAGCCACTCCCTGGAAGGAAGGAAAGAAGTTATAATTTTGCCTTGTTAGCTCTATTATATGTATGGACATTTTTATAGCACATACAAATACGTATGTAGAAATATCATCTGACAAACCTATATATGGTTGGGGGGTATTCCCTTTTGTCCACTCATACCTATCTTGCCTGTCTACCTGTGTACTCCTCATAGATTAATGTTTGTTGTTACTGATAATGGAGTATTGTGTGTATAAAAGTATTTACCTTTGTTGTCTGTACCACTTATATACACTTCTCTGTGTCTTCCGTACTGATAATGTGCTGATCACCCACTTTTGGTATACTGCCTTTTCCCTTCACCCAGATCAATATGTGTTTCCTCCCTTCCCTTCTTCTCCTCTCCCATCTGGTAACCAACAAAGAAAGTTTCCTTCCATGTATAAACCTTTCCTTGACTTTTTACAATAGTGGACTCATACAGTATTTTTCCTTCTGTTATGGACTTATTTCACTCAGCATAATGTCCTGTAAATTCATCTACATTATGAGGTGTTTCATGAATTCTTCATTTTTCTTTAGTATTACATAGTATTCCACTTTGTGTATGTACCCTTGTGTGGTTATCCAGTCATCTGTGGTGGACACTTAGGTTGTTTCCATCTTTTTGCTATTGTGAATAATTTTGTGATGAACATGGATGGGTGTGCATATACCTGTTTGTGTCATGACTCTTATTTCTTTAGGATATATACGTAGTGGTGGGATTGCTGAAGATTGAGAAAGAGTTAATGCTTTTGAGTTGTGGTGTTGGCAAAGCATACTGAAAGTACCATGGAGTGCCAGAAGAACTAACAAATCAGTCCTGGGGGAAGGGCAGCTGGAATGCTCCTCGGAAGCGAGAATGGCCAGACTTTGTCCCACCTACTTTAGTCATATTGTCAGATGGGACCATTACCTGGAGAAGGATATCATGCTTGGTAAACTGGAGGGTCAGCAAAAAAGGGGAAGGCCCTCAATGAGATGGACTGACAGTGGCTGCAATGTTGGACTCAGGTATAGCAAGGATTGTGAGGCTAATGCAGGACCAGGCAGTGTTTCGTTCTTTTGTGCATAGGGTCGCTATGAGTCAGAGCCAACTCAGTGGCACATAACAACAACAACAACAACACCACAACAGTGGGATTGCTGGATCAGATGGTATTTCTATTTCCAACTTTTTAAGGAAATGTCATACTGTTTTCCATAGTGGTTATACCATTTTACAGTGCCACTAGCAGTGTAAGAGAGTTCCATTCTCTCCACACTCTCACCAGCATTTGTTGTTTAGTGGCTTGCTGAACTTTGCTACTATTGCTGGAGTGAGATGGTTTCTTGTTGTTTTGATTTGCATCTCTCTAATAGTTAATGGGGAGCTCTGGTAGCGTAGTGCCTAAGGCACTTGACTGCTAACCAGAAGGCTGGCGGTTCAAACCCACCAGCCACTCCTTGGAAGGAAAATGGGGCAATCTACTCCCGTAGTGATACTGCCTCAGAAACTCAAGGAGTGGTTGCTTTGAGTCGGGTGTGACTTGACAGCACGTACCAACACAACAATAGTTAATGATTGTGAGCATTTCGTCATGTGTTTGCTGGCCACCTGAATACCTTCTTGGGTGAAGTGTCTGTTCATTTCTTCTGCCCCTTTTTCAGTTTGACTGTTTGTCTTTTTGATGTTGAGGTATTGAAGTTTTCTAAGTTTTAGAGGTAAGTCCCTTGTTGGATATGTCATTGCTGAATATTTTTTTCCCAATCTGTAGGTTCTTTTTGACTCTTTCAGAAAATTCTTTTGATGTGTGTAAGAATTTCATTTTTAGAAGGTTCCAGTCATCTAGTTCATCTTACGCTGTTTGTGCATTTTGGATAATGCTTGATAGCCTATTTATTCCATGTATTATGGCCCCTAAGTTTGTCTCTATTTTTTCTTTGATGAACTTTATACTTTTATGTTTTACATTTAGTCTTTGATCCATCTAGAGTGACTTTTTGTGTTTGGTGTGAAGTATGAATCTTATTTCATTTTTCTGCAAATGGATATGCAGCTTTGTCAGCAACATTTGTCAAAGACTATCTCTTCC